GCAACTTCGAAGACCCTATAGTTTCGGCGAACTCAATTTCGGCATGCCAATAGCCTGCACCCAAGCAAAGCTATTAAAAACAAGAATGGTGGACATGGAGTACGTTTAAACAACTAAAATATTGCGACAGCGTGGAGGGACTTCAGGTGCTGCAGAAGGTTATGTTAATTTACCTTCGTTTGCTCACTCTTTTCATGAGAATTCTAAATTTAAGCATCGGCCGAAAGCTTCACCGATTGAACTGACTTTCTGTGAAGTAAGAAATACAACCGAAAGCAATACACCGTGGTGGCCCGATTCCGCGACCAAATATCCGAATAGGTCTCAAAATACGTTTACGAAAACGTTGCAACCAAAACCAGGAATTGTAAGCAGAGCAGCCTTCTCGTAAATCTTTGAATAATAGTAACCGGGGTACATAATCATCATAAAAGAAAGCAGCATCAGTGTTGTCAATGATGCCTCACTGCCACCATAAATTTTGTCTAGTTATATAATAGTTAGTTAACTAGTTAGTTATATAATTATAATAAAAGACCTACGGTGAAGGGAAGATTAAACGAGCAGGTAACGAGGTGATGTAGTGCCGGCCTATGTCAAGCATTCTTAGGTGCCTACACCTCCAAACGCTCAATCAGACAATTTGGAAAGAAACTGACATCACGAATGCCACTGACATCGATTAGCCGCCTTTTCTTGCAACGTCTCCAGCCAAGCACAGACGGGGTCACGGGGGCCTCGTACTGGAAGGAGTACGACACCAACAACACCCGTATTTCCGTGACCTGTTTGACGCCTTTCTGCCAGGTCATGCGCTGTCCACCTGGCGGTCTGTGCCATCCTGATGGAGGCACGGAGAACAACACTCGTCCCAGTAGACGGTGTTTCGGCGTGCAGAGCACATGACCGGGTAATCGTAGTCGACGATGCTGGATGTTTTCTCTGATTGAGGTGCTTGCAGTACAACCAAATACCCGTTTTCTAATCACCTCGTTACTAACACGCTGACGGCATCCAAAACTAGCCACGCTTCTGAGGCATCGGTGGTTGAGAACCTGAAGACGCCTCACATCTGTCCGCAGAGGCCATGTCTCGCACCCATACAACAGCCCTTTCTGTAGCCTGGTACACACGACTCTTAAGATCCAGTGAGATGCCTTTTCGACGCCACAAGTGACGCAAATTAGCAAACGTGATTCGAGCCTTTGAGATTCTTGCACTGACTTCATCAGACACACTTCCGTCAAAGCTAAGTAAAATTACACGCTGAACAAGCCGGAACACATTATGTTTAAACACGTGGGTAAAATCTGTATATTTCTGAAAAATACGTGGCGCAAACATGGCCTCGTAGCGGTAACATTCCTCGGAGGTTGCCACACGGCCTCTTAACCACCATGGTTTATCGTAGACAACTGCGGCGTGCATTAACCTCCCGAATCCTAGAATAAAAACCGTGGTAGATTTATAAAATCTAACGTCTCCCTTTGTGGAACAACATCTGCACCATCTTATTCGTTTACAATTGAAATTCTCCACGTTTATTCTGTCCCCAGTTTTGACCCATGCTCCACTTTTTGTTTAGTGTGTGCATATGAACTGAAGTTTGCTCGTCCTTACCACTTCACTCATTTGGCCTTGAGGGCATCCGGCCATTTGTGGCCGCTTTGTGCACGTGTGGCTAACTCGCTTGGGAGCGTGTCTGCTCCATTGGTTTGTAATTTTGTAGTCCGAAAGGACCATTTGTTTTGGACCAGTATCTACTGACTAAGTTTTTATAATTTGTGAATTTGTCTTACATTAGTAGGGCCGTATTGGAATCGAGCTCCGACTTTGCCTGCCTTCCCGGAGGTTCTGGTATTACGCGTCACTTAAGGATACCGTTCTCCCATTCAAGCGTTCTCTTTTCTACATTCCGGTGCTCCAGAAACAGTGTTGAGGTGCCTGCTTACAAGTGCTGCAGCCTTCAACGAGCTTACCAAAATCTAACGGTTGACTACCTCAAACGTCCGTCTACAATCGCTCTTACAGAAATCTGTCTCCTACCAAAAACCTCTGGTTTAGAGGTCTCAATTTAATGTCACTCCGTTTTCTGCGCTGGCCCAAGCCACAAAAAGACAGGAGTCATCTTACTTCTAAGTGTGATAATAGCCGGTTTGTGTCAGTGCAATGATGGCATGGCAGTGCTATATCCAATCTAATCGCAATGCTGCATCTATTTTCTTACTTCACCCGACCGTCGCATGCCCCACATTCAAACCTGTAATTGCAACTACGAGTACATATTTCACCTGGCCCTTACCTCTTCCGGGACGAATTCAATCTAGCTTAAGGAAACTTACATTCGGATGTTACCTATCCGGCTTTCCATTGCAGTTTTGTGTTGCTCCTTCCACAAGTTCAATTTATTGTAGAATTTTCGTTTGGCATCAAGTACCCCACGATCATTGTCCTTGTTTTTTGGTTCTCGCAATCACACTGAATTTCCATGTAATAAACATGTCTCGTTGATTGTAAATTCCTCCTTGTTGTGTTGTTTCCTTCTGCGCTCAGATTGCAATGACCTGATTATGCCTCGATTGGCGTGTTCTTCAAAAGTTGGGAAACAGAGATATTATTATTACTACTTGATCCGATGCAAATCCGACACCATCAAGTGATGCATTGCAACTTCAAATTTTGACGCGCGGGACCAACTTGTTCACAACCTCGTCAGTCGTCAAAACACAGACCTCCGGAACACCATCAATGATGCATTGCAACCAACTTGTTCACAACCTCGTCAGTCGTCAAAACACAGACCTCCGGAAGAGGACTTGTGCCTCATGCAAGCTCTTGAACAACTCTCCCCAAGCTTCCACTTCAAGCACTCTCAGCTTGTATGTATACCCAAAGATCTCAAGGCCTCCTGTATATAGTTCCAGCATGTCGTGTCTCTCGTGCGTTCTTCATTCGCACTGACTTAAGTTGTTCAAAACAACGCCTGGATTCATAATGATGATGCACTCAGTAAATGCCCCGCAATCTAAATACCACTTCTATTAGATCCGGTCATTTGAGTTGGACACTTCTTTGATGGTGTTATAATTAGGGCTCCCCTTAGGCATAATGTCCACCGAGTGTGGATGTTTGTTTTCATCTCTTACTGGCCCAGGGACACGGAGCATCAGGCTGTGATTCTCGGTGGTGCCTCTTTTCCTTAACCTGCTTGAAAATGGATCAGATTTAGTGAAGGATGTAAACAGAACCAGTGTCCAGAAAATTGATAAGGCCGATGTATTGCTATTCTTAACAAACTAGCACGCCGCCGAAAAACCCAACAGTTACCCAAAAGGGTCCAGCATCGTTCGGGACTTGAGAGCCAACCGTTGTTCAAAACTAACTAGATGAGTTTCGGAAGACGGGATATCTCCTGACACTTGAAACCACTGTAAGCCAAAAATCTGCCGACCGGACATGTTAAAACACGCGACCCAAAAAACAAAATAACACCGGGGAAAGGCACCACGGAAAATTTCAAACATATCCTCCATAAGACACAGATATGAGGAACCCACAAATGACACAGTGGTGGCGTATGTACCCCACGGGGAACATTGTGCAGTTCACTTTCCTGCCTCAGGACCCTAATGCAGCAAACATCTGCAGTGCACAACTTCAAAGAGCCTCTATTAAACTCAATCATTATGAGAAGTAAGGTTCACCTACTCCTGCACCCGACGATCCTTCTCTGTGCCTTCGGGCCAGAAAAGGTATATCCAAGAATCCTGAAGGAACAGACGCCCAGTCTGTCGGTATGCGTCTACCTGATATTCCGTTAGCCGCTGGGGCAATGTAACATTGCTTTCGTCGGGAGAGAAACGAACATCATTCCAGTCTACAAGCCTGGATATTGATAATCGCTCAGATGCCACGGGCATATTAGCTATACTGGTATACGTCGCAGGGTAACGGAGTGCGTCCCGAAGCTGGTCAAGCACCCGACTGCCAACACGGTGTCAGGCAGGATACCTGTTGTCTTGCCTTCTCTCATTTTGTTCTCGTAAGTCACCTTCAAGTTCTAGCGTCCACATCGCATAATGCCTGCTGTGTTATCTCGTCCAAAGGCCGTGATTTCCATGCAAGGAAATGGTCAACTAGCCTAAGCGCACAATCTAGGTGCCCTATCTGATAGGTACCGTGTAGTCTAATTCAACGACTGACGATCAGTAATTGCGGCAAAATCGAACTCTGCTAAATTTACCGCCAGCGGATCGAAGCACAATGCATTTTTCTGCAAAATCCCTGCGGGTGAAATAAAAAATTTAACGTCAAAATGTTGCATCTCATTGCATATACGCTCAGTCTGAAAATCCCCCTCACCTGCCATCAGTTTTTTGCGATTTGTTTTAATCGATCTCTTTTGAAAATTATTCGCGTATGTTCGGATTTTAACTTCGTCTGCTATGGCTTTGGAAGTGGCTTTCGTTGTGAAATTTGTGGGTGTATCGTTTTCATACTTCACGGCATTTGAGAAGACCTTAAATGAATACATGAAGGATAACTTTGTGGTATTTGTATTCAGTAATCGAAGCACAAACGATATTTTGCGTTACGAATGGGTGTACTACAAATGCAGCAGGCGCCCTCCAAGACCAACGAAAACCCGTGGAATCCGAAAAAGCTAGTAAGCCGAGCGTATTTTCTAATAAAAAAGTACGCGAAGCACTCGCTGTCTAATGCGATTTTGTCTACGGAGGCAAAGGAACCAACTGGCAGTGACCTTCTGGAAAGCAACCATCAACTGTCAAAGTTGTTTTACGATCGGCTTCTAGTTAATCGACACCTAACCAAAGACGATTTGGGCACATGCAAGGCCGTGCTGAGATATGGAACGCCGTCATCTGAAGTGCGGCAGCTTATGGTGGATGAATTCAGAAAGATTCTTACCACTTAGGATAGATATACCTACCGCCGGAAGTGTCGAACAACTATGTTGAGTAGGTGCCGCATGGTTGGGTTTTAATGTAGCAGATGATATGCCTTCGGTCCTGGCAAAACTTCGGGAGACCGGGCGCGTCCTTCTGTGTCAGGCAGAGGAAGATCATTATAGCCAGATATGTTTCTTGCGATGGCAGCAGATAGCGTTCTTCCGACGATTTCCAGATGTAGTAAATGTAGACGGAACGAATGCAACAAACCGCCTTGGGTAAGTTTCTTAAAGCATCAGATATAAACTATAAACATTCTTGACAACGGACAGCATGGGCATCCGGTTATGTATGCGTTCGTAGAGAGCGAGCAGTTTGCTCCCATGTTCGGATTATTAAAAGAAATGATGGGCGAAACGTGTCCGGTCAGGACCTTTGTAGTGGAAAAGTTGCCAGCGTAAATGCGTGCGGCAAGAGTCGTGTTCGGCTGTGACGTTATGCTTTGCTACTTTCATTTCCGCGAAGCCATCAGGAAGCACGTATGCATCATTTAATATCCATGTATTTTTGGTCACAGACACGTTCTGTCGAATGACGATATATGCATGCTCTCTCATTTTGAGGCACTTGGTCCGCGACCGCCGCGGCTGCCGTATGAAAGTGTCGGAACGAACAAGGTGAGGTCGAGCTACGT